TTGTGCTTTTCGATAAATTGATCCAGTCTAGTGACAAATAATTTCTCTAAAATTTTAGAAAATTGTGGAAGCAAAGATATAGGTCTTTTACAGGTTAAAATAGTAAATTGAATTGAAACCCACCTTTTCCACAATATGAAGTGGCAGCAGATCTTTTGTACCTTAATTTTCCACAGGCTCACACACACACAGCTGTTAGTAAGAGTCAGTCGCACACAAAACTACATCATTGCGTGACAATCATTGCAGTAATTGCAAAGTTGTTGACAGTTTTTCTGCACACTATTTGATTTTGTTCAGCCCTACTTTAGGGGRCGTTCCCATTTCAATTTACAACTTTTAAGAGGGGAATTCCCACTTCCCAGCATGAAAACGCAGCTAAATGGACATTACGTAGCAAATTCCTCCAGCTGACAGCTTTTGAACTCACTCAGAGGTGGGATGCAGTCATTTTGAGGGGGGAAATAATCAACATGCATTATGGGAGATGTAGTTTATGGTCAATGCTGACTTTAAAGCAGCTTATTTACGACATTAATACATTTTTGAAGCTTTCTTGGGCCTGAAAAAATGACGTGGCAGGACGCATTTGGCCCGTGGATCTTGAGTTTGACACCTGTGATATAAAAGAATGGTTCTCCTGTTTGTAGTTTTTTTTGGGCTGTGTGACTGATGAGTAGACAGCATTCTGTTTGAAAGCGTCATGTTTGATTTCAGTTTTTAAACAGAACAAACACTGGTTTTCCTCCTGCAGATCAGTCTGATTTTCATTCATCTGTCCACAATGTGTTATTGAACGACAGAGCTGGAAGAGCTCCAAAGGCTTCCCGCAAACACCACGCTGCCACTGCTTTCCTGGTACAACAATCTCCCCTTTTCCCAACAAAAGGAGAGTGATGGAAAGCAGAAGGACGTGTCTCTGTATTCCTGCTGAAAGACACTGCTGGAGGAGTTCTTTGTCTTCTTTAGTTTTGTGCAAACGTCAGTGTAGCAGCTGTCAGCGAGGTGACAGTGGTTGAGATAGAAAGTCTCAGTTGTGTTTTATTGCATGGCCTACACATAAAATCTAAATGGACAAGACACAAATTGTTTATAAATGTATGTAAATCAGTGGAAATATAGATATAACAGTCCACTCTGGATGAGCAYTGTTGGTCTTTCGCTAGCAGTATTCCCTAACAGAGGTTTTCAGTCCTTTTTCCTTCCTGACCTTCTGTCCTGCACGTTTTAACCTTCAAAAACAGATCTGTGAGCTTAATAGGATTTGCCTGTTAAAGGTTAAAATTAATTTTAAAAATGCATTTTGCTTCCAAGCAGCCTCATTAGACACTTCAGATAGGTCTTTGCATAAAAACAACAGTTTTTTTTTTGTTTTTATCCTCTTACTGAGTTCACTGCAGAAAGAATGTCTTTAGAGGATTATGTTGCAGGTAAAATCAAAGCATGCAGGWAATTTACTGATGATTTTCCTGATTGGGCTTTTAAGCCATATAAAACCAAAACAGGTGAATATTATTTTTAGAATTTTTTTTGCAAAAATAGATCCCTTTTCTTTTTACTTTATTTTTGTGTAATATTTATAGTGAATGATGCTTTTTTTTAAACTATTTTGGCGCCCCCTGCTGAAACATTTGTGCATATGTTAGCAGAATTTTCAATTAAATATAAAGTAGAAAAACAAACGGTCAACCATTTTTTTACATGCTCAGCTGTTTCTACCTACAACTGAATAAACCCATCATGAGTCTAATACTCTATGACAATAGCAGAAAACCTGATGGATTTCTTAGACTTAATAAAATGTGCATCTATCTTTTGACACTTGTACATTTTCATATTTATTCAGTCAAAAAAGTGTTTTTTTTCTCCACATAAAATACCTTTATGTATATTGCACCAATTGTAAAATAAAATGTTTAAAAATGTCACTAACTCATTTTCATTTTATTTAGCTCACTTTCTGAGTGTAAAATCCTGGTTAAAGACATTTCTCTAACATTTTATTGTTATTTAGCTTGCTGTTCCTACATTTTACTAAAGCTTAAATTAAAATGAGAAATAAAATGTGCAAATATTAAATCCTAAATATAAATGTGTAGATCTAAATGTAAAAGTCAAATCTTGTGGTTAAATGTTGAAGTTTACGTTTAAGTATTTCAGTAAAGAAAGCAGCCTTTGCTATTTGCACTCAGCTCTTGTTATGACATCATCATCCTGAGACAAAAGCAACCACTAATGCTGCTAACCCTGCTAACGCTTCCCACAAAACATGAAGCTCGTAGTTGTGACTGTTGTCTGAGCTGCACTTCAGACAACCGGACCACAGGTTCCATCCATTCAGTTTTGAATGAACACATTTTAAATTTAGATTTTTAATACAATCTTCAGCAGCTTAAGCAACATTAGCAGAGTTAGCATTGTTAGCGGTTGCTTTTGTCTCAGGATGATGATGTCATAAGCACAGACCTGATTGTGGCAGCCTGATCCGTCGCGGAAGCATGATCAGTGTTTGTTTTAAGCTTTTAGCATTTTGCTAGACTGATGACTTCATTTGATTTCAATCTTTCATCACATGCAATGTTTCATAGAAAAGGCGACGTTTGCAACAGCTGTGGATTTTTATTCCAGGAAAAAAATAAAAATAAAAACAAAGATAGGATGAATTATAACATGAGTGTGTAGAAAATAGTCCACAAGTCATTATAAATAAATATGTACACATTGTAAATCTATATTTTATTAATCAAAATGTATGCAATATYAAAATTGTTTCCATAATATAATTTAACACATCTTTAGAATTAAGCATGGAAATAATTATTTTCAGTATTTTTTTTCCAAAATCGACCACATTCCAGAAGTCCATCATTTAGTGCATGCGCAAATGAGCTGACTGTACGGATCAAGCTTCTGGGACGKATCGGGCAGCCACAGTGATATCTATGAGATAAACGCAATTTGAATTTAAAATTTAAATGCCGTCTTTAGCAGTGTTAAGCAGCATTAGCTGTTGCTTTTGTTTCAAGATGATGATGTCRTAACAAGAGCTGAGCTCCAACTGCAAAGGCTGTGTTCCATTTTACAACGTAAACTTCAACATTTATGATTTAACTTTACATTTAGATTTATAGGATTCAATATTTGCATATACAGCGGGTAAAATAAGTATTGAACATTGTCACATTTTTCTCAGTAAATATATTACTAGAGGTGCTAATGACATGAAATTTTCACCAGATGTTGGT